TTTTTTTTTTTTTTTTTTTTTTTTTTTTTTTTTGGTAACCTGTTTTTACTTTTCTTTCTTGCAACCGCTTGTTTTTTTTTTTTTTTCACTTCGCAGTGCTCTGTTCTTACAGATTAATGATTTTGTTGAATTGTGTAAGCTGCCTAATTCTCCGATGCGAATCGAGAGTTCTGCCCCACGTAATTCTTTTGACAATGGTCTTATGCGCAGGCAGAGCCGTGAAGATCCTAGCTGTGTAAATTACTCATTTTTTAGGAGTTTCTACTTTTGTAAACTTTGGAAGTTTTTAGAGCGCTTGAGTTGCGTAATACATATTATTATTATTACAGAGTTTGTCTGGTTACATTCTTGACCCAGATCGTTTAGTAAGTGATGAAGAGCTACAGAAAGAACTCATAACAAAAATAGGTGAAGAGCTTTCACATAGCAATGAAAGGTATGATAAATTAATTTTTTGATTAATATGGTGAGGGGACAACCAGAGCGGAGCTTGTTTTTAGCGTATTTATTTTTGCTTTTACAATTCCACTGATTATTTTTTACCAGTTGCTGGTACGAAGCATTGATTTCACCTTATTGTTCGAAGCAGATTTTGTAATACACGTCGTCTCCCTCATGGGCGGGCTGAATGTTTAGATTCCTTATTTTCTTAAGTTTTTTAAAAAAGATTTTCTTTTTTTTTGGGCTAGTAACAGATAAATTTCTCAGGATTGCAGTAAGTTCTGGAAGTAAAGCTTGTCTTCACCACTATTTTCATCTGCATTTTCTTTTTAGTGTGAATGATTCGATCTAATGACTTTTCAGAACTGCCGAGCGTTTACAAGCAATGAATGTACTCTCACAAATTACGCGAGACAGCCTGTTCACTTTGTGGGACAAATATTTCAAGAAAATTTTGTTGCTTTTGGTTGAAAACTTAAATGATTCAGACGCTAGTATTCGTCGTACTGCTTTGAAGCTTTTGAAAGAGATTTGGTTTGTAACTTGTTCTGATCATATTTTTCCATTATTTTATTGCTTTTCAAGGCAGTTCGTTTGGACCTGTAATGAATTAAATTTTTTGCTGAAGTCTTAACAAACAGGTCTACATTTCAGTTATTCACAAGCTCCTCGTTTCAATTATTATGCCGAGATGGTGTTTATGCGTGTACTTGATGCTACTGCTGACGAGTCCAAATTTGTAAAACTTTTAAAATATTAATGCGCTTTGATTACTCGATTTCTTTTTGAAAACTTAATATATAGGTGGTATCAGCGGCAGAAGAATGTGGAAGTGTTCTTGCCACTCACGTTTCGTCTGTAATATGTCGTAAAGTGTTGTTAGCAGTTATAAAAAGCAGCAATACGGCCGAATCAAAAATTTACATGGCTATAAAAATGTTGACGAAAGTTCTCGAATCTCTTAGTCCAGAGGAATTAATAGATATTCTTGATGAAGTCGCGCCACCCATTGTTGAAGTTGGTTTTATTATAATTTTTAGGGCTTGCGCAGCAACATTTAGATCTCTTTATTGCATAATATCAATAACTTCTTTTTTGTATTTCAATTTTGCACTTACTCTTTGAACTTAAAATTTATAGGCTTACAATTACGAAAGCAGTTCCATACGGAAAGAGAGCGTTGGATGTTTGGTGAAAATGCATAAAATTGTCGGTAAAGAAGCTATGCAACCTTACATTTCAACTCTGAATCGGGGAAAGGTGGGATTTCCTATATGTGAATTAATTCCCGAGTATTTAGGGACCTGTATACTGTAATTTTTTGCTCTCTTGACTTAAGATTCTACTGAATGAGCTTACTGAGATGATGAGGTTTTTTCGATGACGAGCTTACATGCTTTTGAGATCTATCATTTGTCTCGCGGCTCTCTGAAGAGTTCAAAAACTCAAACTTACTGTGCTTTCAGCGGGCGTTATTGGATGTCTACCTTAACCGAACAAGGGGCCCAAGTCCAGTTTCCTGAGCTCTTCACTCTTTGGGCTGCTGTTGTTTTATAGAAGGATTTTTTTTCAAGACTGCTGCTCTTCAGATCGCATTGTATAGCTGCAATTCTCATTGTTAACTGTTTTGCAGATTTCTGAGACCTTCAGTCACGAAGTTTGCATTTGGGTGGGCGGGATTTCCTTAATTTTTTTTTGAATAGATTCTGAGTTGTTATAATTTATTCGTGCGGAAGCCTTCAATTTGTTACAAGTCCTGTACAGTGCTTAATTTCGCTTTTATTTAGTTGTTTTGAATTCAGGTTGGTAAACTGTGCGCGAAGGTGCATTTGTGATATGATAATTTTGATTATGCTTCTTTTACACATTCCGTTTATAGGGCTGTAAAGGATAGAATGTGGTATGGGTTGCTTATATTAAGTTTTTGGAATCTTTCAATAGCATTACCGTTTTTTTTGTTTATTCTACTATGAGTCCTGATTGCTTCCTAATTTTTAGGTTGTGATGTGTTTATTTCTTTTGAAACTGATTTTTCATTGTTTGCTTGCAGCCAATAACTTTTAGAATACCTTTGGTTTTTTGTTTAGTATTTTCTTCACAAGTGTAATTTAATGATTCAAGTTACGGTTCATATATAAAATAATTAACTACCACTTGTATAAGCAAGTACAAGAGGTGTTTTGAGGCAAATCTTTTATTTTTTTCGTTTATTTTTACAAAGTTGTTCTTTACAGCGTCTGTTTTACATGGAGTGGTGATTCTGCATACCAAAGTCGGTGGGAGG